GGTAGGTGGATGTATAGATGGATGGATAGATGGATAAATGACTAAATGAATGAATAAATAATAGGATCCCATAAGTAATGACCAGTAGGCACAGGGCTCTACTTCAATCTGGAATTTACTGGAGCTCAGCTACCTAGGAATCCCAGCTTTGACCAGGTATTTAGTTTGACCCCACCATTTTCTAGACACGTTCTCCCAGCTTGGCCGAGCATCCCTATGTAACCACTGTCTGCCTCCCTCACCGGGCTGCAGCATAGGTGGAATACTACCCAAGGCTGCATCTGGCCTAACAATGATGTCTTCACGCCTGACCCTGGGCTCGGGCCATTGCAGGCCTCAATGAATACTTGTTGAATAAATGACAAATGAACAAAAGAACCTAGGAAGCTTTTTAAACATAGATTTCTAGGCCCCAGCCGAGATCTGCTGGCTCAGAATCTCTAAGGGTGAAACTCAAGAATGTGTATTTTGTTCAAAAGCTTTCTGGCAATTTCAGTAATTGGCCAGGTTTGGGAAACACTAGCTTGTGGGGAAAAGGAGTCCCAGCTACAAGCTATGACTACGGATGAAGGCATCTCAGAGCAGGGCCGTACAGCCTGGCACCAACTCGGACAGATCTCCACTCTCCTAAGCATTTTTAGGTTAAGAGTCTAACAGCCTTTTTCATAGTGTGGTCCTTGAACTATTATTGACTTCAAAACTACCTTAGTGAGAGGAAGCCTTTATTATTTATTTTTTAATATGTTCTTGTTGATTTCAGAGAGAGGGAAGGAGAAGGAGAGAGAGATAGAAACATCAACGATGAGGAAGTCATTGATCGGCTGACTCCTGCACGCCCCCTACTGGGGATCAAGCCCGAAACCCACAACCTGGGCATGTGCCCTGACCAGGAATCTAACCACGACCTCCTGGTTCATAGGTCAACACTCAACCACTGCTCCAAGCAGTCTGGGCAAGAGGAAGCCTTTTTTTTAATGTAGATTCTAAGGTCCCACCCCAACCTCTCCCTGGTCTCGGGTGCAGCTGTGAGCAGCTGAGGCCTACACTGTTCAGTAGTGGACTAAGCACTGTTTTTGCTCTTCCTGTCACTGTTCCTTCACCATCCTCACTGGAACCCAGGCGACAGGTTCCCAATCCAGTGCTCTTCCCAAGGCCCTGGGGTCCGGGAGGCTGGAATTCCCAGGAGGCTGGGGTCCCGAGCCTGCCCCAAGTGGCTGTGAGGTGATGAATAAAGGGCTGTAGGCCCACTGGAGCTCCAAGGCTCGTGATAAAACTTAAGGGGTTGGACTGAATCAGATGTCCCAAAGTGGGGTGGGCTGAATGCTGGAACCCCACAAGATTCTATTAGGTAACTTGCCAAGGAAGGGCTCAGCTAAACAAAGGGTTTCAAGGGAAATATCTAGAGTCAGATGGATCAGGGTTCCAGTTCTGTCATTTACTAGCTGTGTGACTTCCGGCAAATTGCTTACCCTCTCTGTTCCTCAGTTGCTACATCTGTTAAATGAAGGTATTAGCCATATATAGCTCACAAGATTGCCACAAATTGTTGAAAGAAGATAATACATGGTGCCTGGCACACTCCAGGCCCTCAGTAAACACAGGTAATTTTTTCAGTCTTTTGGGATCACATTTCATATCATCCAAACTTCACAGATAACCAAGATTGCAGAGAGGCAAGGCGGCCGCCCAAGGTGAAGGGGCTCGTAAGGAGCAGGTCTCTGGGAACCGCTCCCTTCTCTCCTGACCCCTGAAAATGAGGCCTCTGCCTCTGCCTGGCATCTGTAAAATATAGCTGCTGCCTCCAGCAAAGACCGCCCCATCACTGGCCTCACATGACCTATGTCCAGGAGCAAACCCCAGCCCAGCCCCAAGAAGTTTTCCAGTCACTAACTGGGGAGGAGGCCAAGGCCCAGGAAAATGCTTAAACAACCCATGGGGCCCTGACTCAGGGGAGGGCCAACTCCCACTTCCCAGCAATAGCCCAGCCCCTCCCGCCCAGAGGCACTGCCCATTCTCTGAGAATGCACAAGGGCAAAGGTTAAAACCACAAGAGGACCTGCGGATGGCGCAATGGTGACATCACCTGGAGCCTCCAGTGAGCTCCTCCTTGGGGGCACTCACCACCTGTTTCCATCCTTGAAACTGGTTGTTTCACTCAAGGGACAGGTTCCTGCCTACATGCCTTGTCATGCTGTGTGACCGCAAGCAAATTGCTTAACCTCTCTGAGTCTCAGGAACCTTTTTAGAAAAGAGACATGAGCAGAGTTTAGGAGGCACTGAGGAAGCAGCAGGGTTTGCAGAATGACCTAGGAATCAGAGCCTTAAAGGTCTCCCTGATGTTTCCTGACCCTTCTAACCCCGTCCCTCCCTATCTGGAAACACTTGACTGGCGTCCTGTGGTCCTCAAGAGAAAGTGAGAGCCCCTAGTGAGACGTTCAGACCCCTTCAGCAGCATCCCCCATGGCTCTGCCCCCAGCCTTTGCACCCCTGTGCAATGCTTCCCTCTCCCTGGACTGACTGCCCCTTGACTGCTTTGCTCAGACACTCCCCTAGGAAGCTTCTCTTTCCTATGCCTGGGTTAGGCACTCCCAGTCGTCTGCCTCCCCCAGCAGAAAGAGAGTAAACACATTCTACTCATCTCTAGCTCCTAGCCTGGTGCCAGCTCCATAAAGAAATCTGTGCTGGGTAAATACGTGTTGGGAAGAGAGGAATGCAAGGACAGACAAACAAAAACAAATTAACTACTCCCCGAGCTAGGTCTCCTCCTCTTGCCAAACAGGAATGCTATCAGAGAGATAGCTGGGCCACCTGAAGGGGGCCTCACCCTGGTTTTGTAGCTGGCTGGGTGGCCTCTGCCCCTCTATAAGGTGAGGACAGTACCAGCACCTGCACCTTTGCGAGGATGCAGGGAGCTAGTCCTCCCAGGGTGCTCAGTGCAGACCTGGCGCACGAAGGTGATTTCTGTGCACTTCACGGCTGAGGAAGAGAAGTGGGAGGGGAGGGCAACACTGGCCCAGCCGTCCAACCTGGCCCAGCTAAAGTGGCTTCTGCTGCAGGGACCGAGTTCTCCCGACACCAAGCTCCCAACTGGCTCAGATGCTCATCGCGTCCACCAGCACTGGCCGCACACCCCAGCAGCCCAGCACCCTGGAGACTGTGGGCCCCTTTTTTCCATCTCAGACACACCACTGACCTCTCTGATCCGTTCCCTCCTCTACAGAAAGGACCAGCTAAGAAGCACCTGCTTCCATCATTTTGGGGACCCATCAATTTCTGCTCATTCCCATTGTGCCTGCAAATGACCTCTCCTGGGGTGGGCAGTCTTTGTCGGACTGTACCCCACCCTCCCGTGTGCCTGGTCAAGGTGTCACTGAGAACCGTGAGGCTATCGAATGAGACTGTTCCCAACCTCCCCTCATGTATACTCCAAATCCGCCCCAACTTCTCCCATTTCCTAAGGAGCACTCCTACTCCCATAACACCGCCCCCCACCCACATCATCACACTGGGGACCGCCTCCTCTCTGGTTCGCCTAAAGATCCGGCTCCTGTAGGTGCCCCAAGCGTGTTGGCCACCAGCACAAATCCTTCTCCTGGGTCCCCCCGCTTCCCCTCCAAGCGAGACACCTTTTCTCAACCCCCCTTCGCTATCCGGCACCTCAGAAGCTGTCCGCACACGCTGTCCCTCCTTTCTCACCTCCCAGCCCCCCGACCCTCTCCCACCGCGAATGGCAGCCCCATCACTCCTCCAAAACTGCTCTTACAAAAAGGCCCAAACTGCCTCCGCGTTGCCTAACCCAGTGGCCCCTTTTCTGTCTCATCTTAACGTGGGCTCTCAGGGGCCTCCAGCCCTGCTGACCACTAGCCCTTTTCCGAAGCACAACCCCGTGTGGGTTTCCCGGAGACCCCGCCCCTGAAAGAGGCTGCTCCTCTCCTGGCTCCCCCTCCTTCACCTGACCTCTGACCTCTGAGTGGTCCCACCCGCCCCGTCTATGTGCTAACAACACCCCAGTCTGAATGTCAGCCCAGAGGCCCCCAGTTATTCCCATCACATCGCATCAGCTGTTTCACAGGACTTATCACATGACACCGTGAACGAAAAGGGGCGACACAGTAGACCCGACAAGCTCAGGAGGCCACACGGCAGGCCTGGCAGGCTCAGTGACCGAAAGGAACCACACAGGATGGGCCGACCATAAATTCCTAAATGGGCGGGTCGTGGGGGGAAGTCGTATACCAGGCCTGTGGCTTCCTTAGCAAAGGTCACCCTTTACCCAAAGCGAACACTGTCAATGTCCTTACGCATCTCGGATAACATACATTTGAAATGCCGAAGTCGTTTTCTTTTCCAGACGCCTGGGACCCGACGGCAGGCACCAGAGCACGACCACCGAGCTCCTCCTTGCTGCCTTGCTGCCTGCACGCCGTCTGTATGAGCTGTCGATGTTAAATGGTCACTCTCCTGTACCCACCAAGGTAGAAGCGTGTGTTTCTCCATTTCGCTTTGTATCCAGTTCTAGAGATTTCCCCGCCTCGCTTTCTCCCGCCTCCCTAATCCACCGCCTGTGGATTCCGTGGGACTTTCCCTACTCTCTCCTTTGACTCCAAATGCACAGAAAGAACTACCGAACTGCCACTCTCCCAAGCATTTTCTCAATCCTTTGAGATCCTGTGTCCTCCAAATTTTGGCTCAAATAAACTCTCACACAACTTTTCTCTAGGTTGGACATTCTTTCATCGACCACATGCAGTTACTTATAATCTGAGCGGTTTCTCTGGGTTTTGTCCCCTCCGACATCACGTGAGATCCACAGGGCAAGGCTGCTGACGGTCGGCCAGCTCACCGACATCACGCCGCCCACAACGCTGAGCCCTTCCACGACCAGGCACTGTCCAGAGCAGCCCATCTGCACTTTCTCATCAAATCCACACAACACATGACGCAGCAGCTAGTATTTTCCCATTTTACAGATGAGGAAACTGAGATACAGAGGAGCCAAGTGAGTCGCCCAAAGTCTGACACAGGAAGAGGCCCAACAAGAAGGGCACCCATCTACCTGCCAAGCCCAACACAGCCCTGGCCCTTTCTGGACCCTAAATGGATACTTACTAAATGAGCAAATCAATCACCAAAAATCAATGAATGAGATATTGAGAGAGGTGGTCTTTGGGTCTGTGGAATGGAGAGTTTCATTTCCTTCTATCTGCATTTTCCAAGGTTTCGTCAATGATCATGTAACACAGAATTTAAAGTACAATACAGCTTTATTTTTAGAAGTAATTCAAAGGTTCTGGGCAATGTCTTGGTCCAGGAACATTTTTCTTCAATTTTCAGAGACTGTTATTCCTCTACTTAATTTAAACGATTGTTTTTCTAGCAAAATTGGATAACAAGCCCGCATTTTAAAGCTCTCTCCAAGTCTGCCCACTTCAAACAAGGAAGGTAGGGGAGTAATGAGAGCCCTTGGGGCCTGAGTGCTAATGGCTGGGAGGCCCCTGGAACGGGTTTCTGCGGAGGCCAAGAGGCCAGGCTCTCAAAGAGGAGGAGGGGGCCAGACCCAGAAATGCCACCTCACATGCGGCCCTATGCACGACGTGGGCAGGGGCCACCCCAAACCACCTCCACTGCCCTGGACTGAGTGTCCCTGCACAGAACGGGGAGGGAGGTGGCTGGGCCAAAACTACGCTCTCAACAGACAGGCAGGTGGGAAGGGCAACCCCTGAAGCCCTTGGCAGGAGGCTCAGGGCCAGGCTCAAACCAAGAGGGGGGCACAGCCTATGCTTCTGGTCAAGTGGTCAACTGTCCTTCCCTGTTTCCCACCACATGTGGCCACTGCTGCCAAGGGACATCAAAGGCACAGCCAGGCCAGGTCCTGGAAAGGGTGGCACTGCCTTAGGGGGCTGGGGGCTGGGGCTCTGGGGCAAACAGAACGAGGTTACCCTGTGCTGCCTCCACCCCTCACAGGTGTGTGACCTAGACAAGCAAGGTGACAGATCAGGGTGTCCGCCTCATCGGGGGCAAAACGGAGTTGATGACACAGCCCACGTCTCAGGGTGGCTGATGACTGAACAAGCTCCCTGGAGCCCCGCGCCTGTCAACGTGACTGCCACTCCCTAAATGAGACCAATTACTACAGCAATCTCCATAAATACGGGCCATTATTATTAGCACGGTCCTGAAAACAGGCCTGGGGGGCCCGTTTGGGCACTGGGGTTCTATTCTAGGCCTTGACCCTACACCACAGGGCAGTGATCCCAGCTAAGCGGGTAAAAAAACACATGGCCCTGGCGGCGTGACTCAGTGGTTAGAGCATCAGCCTGTGCACCGAAGGGTTGCGGGTTTGATTCCCAGTCAAGGGCACGTACCTGGGTTGAAGGTTTGATCCCCAGCCCTGAAAAGGGGGCAACCAATCAATGTGTCTCTCTCACATCAATCTCTCTCTCTCTCTGTGTCTCTCTCCCCCCTCCCTTCCTCCCTTCCATTCTCTCTAAAAATCAATGGAAAAAAAATATTCTCGGGTGAAAATTAACAAAAAACACAGAAAACACACCACCCATCAATTTTAAATTAAAGAAAGGCAAAGTGTGTTGTGATTACAAGACCAGCGGTGAATCTTCTGTCCCTCCCCTCCTCAAAGAGAAAAGGAACCCAGAATAAAGGCGGGAAGTAGGGTTACAGAAAGATCTCACTACCTAGTTTGAATCCTGCCACTTACAAACATTGTGACCTTGGGGAAGGTCACTCAGCCGCTCAGACTCAGTTCCCTTATCTATAAGACAGGATAACACTACCTACCTGCAGGATCTGTATGGAAATTAAATGAACTGACACATGAAAAGCATCTGGCATGTACAGTCCTAACATGAACACGAGTTGTCTCTGAAGAAATAAGCTCTCAATTGTTAAGTGAAGGGCAGAAGTAGCCAAAAAACACTGGATAACCTCAATTTCAGTTACTTTTATCTTTGGCTTTTCTGGTATTTTTGGGGGTAGGGAAAGGGGAGCAGACCCACTTCCCAATTCTGTTTTGAAAATGGAAATCTCTTTTGAGACTCCACCAGCCACAGATTCCAGGGCTGGAACAGTAGAAAGTTTGGGTAATAACAAGAAATTTGTAAGAAACCTTCAAGATGTGCAGGGAGCCCGACCGGGCGTGGCTCAGCGGTTGAGCGTTGACCTGGGATCCAGGCGATCGGGGTTCGATTCCCGGTCAGGGCACATGCCCGGGTTGAGGGCTGCAGCTGATCAATGACTCTCTCATCATTGATGTTTCTATATCTCTCTCTCCATCTCCTTTCCTCTCTCTGAAATCAATAAAGATATATTTAAAAAAAAAAAAAAGATGTGCAGGGAAACGGGTGACCCCCACAATACGATGCGCCCAGCAGGCGAGTGTGGCAGGATTCCTTGGCTGGTGCCCAGATGATGCTGTACCCTCTGACCTGAGGAAGGTGCAGCACTTGCCCTGACACCCGAGCTAGACTGAACTCCCAGCAACTCATGCCTCTAAGCCTTCGCACATGCCGTTCCTTCAGGCCAGGCCCTTTCTCTCTCCCCATCCCATTCTCCTGCCCTCATACCTCCACTGTACGTAACTGCACACATGTCCATCTCCCAACCAGAGCCCACGCACTGGACAAAAGCCATGGCTTTTGTAAAGAGACGTCCACTCGACAGTCTGGCTCTACTCTCTTATGCTGTCCCTGAATGCATATGGATAGGTCATGCCTTCTGTTGCCTAAGCCTCTCGCAGACAGCTCTGGCCACTGGGTCCTGGACATCACACCCATCACACCTTGACCAGCCATGAGCTATTTGACTTGTCCACAATCTAGCCTTGGACACCACCACCACTCTGCCTCCCAGATGACTGGGTCCCCTAAGTATGGTTATTCAATCAACAGCAAAGCAGGCTCTCAATTAACAGACTCTTATCCTCAACCCATTTCCCTCCTTCTTGGTGCATGGTAATATAATAACCCAGTTTCCAAAGGGAGAGGTCATTTAAGGGCCACTTACGAGCCCAACCACCACAGCAGGCCCAGCCCAACTGTCGCCCCTCCTGCTCTGCACCTGTGAGGACCCTAAACCAGCTCTGGAGTGGTGTCACATCAGAATGCAAGCTGGGGTGGGAGGGGGCGGGATGTGCCCAAGTTGCTCACTGCTGGATCCCCATGGTGAGCAGATAAATGTTTAACAACTGACTGGGGGTGGGGGTCAGGAGGGCTGATTTGCAGTGTTTGCCAATTTCTGTGGTGCAAATACTTTCACTGTGGCCAACTTTAAGGTACCAAGGTGACACCACCAAACACACAGTTGGGAAGAAATGTGTAGTAGCCACCAGCAGGTACATTATACAGTCATCTGTTATTTAACAACGGGGTATGTCTGAGAGATGCATCGTCAGGCCATTTCACCCTTGTGCAAACGTCACAGTGCACTTACCTAGATGGTACAGCCCACCACACACCTAGGCTGTATGGTGCCGCCTATTGCTCCTCGGCTACAAAGCTGTACGTGTTACTGTACTGAATACTGTAGGCAACTGTAGCGTAATAGTATCTGTGTATCTAAACACAGAAAAGGAATGGTAGAAATAAAGTATAAAAGATTAAAAATGGTACACCTGTGCAGGGCACTGACAGTGAATGGAGCCTACAGGACCAGAAGTTGCTCTGGGCAGTGAGTGAGTTTGAAGGCCTAGAACATTACTGGACACTACTAGACTTTATAAACACTGTCCCACAAATCCTCCCCTGGCTTTCTTCCGACAGGGTCAGAGATAGAACAGAGAGCTGTCAACGCTGCTCCATGAACAGGGATGTGGGCTGATTGGAAATGTCGAGGAGAAACTGGCTGGGTGAGACGTAGATCACCATAACAGTGACTGTCGGGAGGGAGTGAAAGGTGGCCTGAGGATCAGCAGGAATGAGGAATCAAGACCGAAGGCCGTGGGTTTGGCTATTGCCTGTTGGAGCCATGGTCAGATTAAGGTATGTTCAGAAAAAAAGAGGGTGTTTAACATGGAGAGTGTAGAACTAAGGGCTCACTATTGACTTGGGAAATTTGCTTTTGGTTCCATTGGCCCTATCTGGCATAAAAGGCTCTCTCTGGCATTGAACTGATAGAAGAAATAAAACTTATCTATGCTTTACACCATTACAACCGGAAAATATTTTCAACGCCCAGCGACAGGCTGGTCCCACACAACCACAGAAAACTTTTACTAAAGCAGCAGTGGCATTGAGTACTTGTTAAGGTAGTGCCTGCAGACCTGTGTCCTTGTACAGGACCTAGGTCCTCAACAAAGATGCCCATCATCATGGTCTGAAGGGCACATACCTCGGTTGCAGGCTCAATCCTCAGTCCCGGTAGGGGAGTGTGCGGGAGACAACCAATTGATGTATCTCTTTCACATCGATGTTTCTCTCTCTCTACCTTCCACTCTCTCTGAAAAGCAATGGAAAAAGGTCCTTGGGAGAGGATTCAAAAAAAAAAAAAATTTACAGCAGTGTTCTCTGAAGCCCATCAGCCAGGCCTGGGGGGCTGTAGAGCCCTCTGACTATGTAGCGCTGGGGGGCCCGGCTCCTCTGTGCTGAAATAGGTCAGTAGCTGATGGACTGGGGAGTAATCTGTACACTCAGGACTGAGGTGCTGTGAGCAAGAAGGAATCTATTGCCAAGCCTCAAATATACTGCTCCTGTCAGAGAAAAAAATACTCCCTGAACCACATTTCTTACAAGAAATTCAGTTCCATTATAATCTCATGGGACTGCTGTCATATATGCTCTCTGCCATTGGCCGAAACATTACGTGGCACATGACTGTGTATATATAACATATATCCACACACATAAAAGACACAAATAACCACAAACACATAGGTAATAGTGAAATACAGTGAAGTAATTAGGAAGTACTGTATTTTTAGTATTTATTACCCTTGCTTCTAGTATAATTTATATAATTGTAAATTTATATACATACAATTTTTTTTATAAAGGCTGTGTTTAACAGCTAGCTCACAAAATTCCTAAAATTTAGTGATCAACTCTCATGCTTAGGTACAAACTCGCTCCAGCACACCACTGCCCAGGGCCCAGCACAGGCTCTGTAAGGACGGCGACTCCTGGGAGCTCTATCAGACCAGGACCCCAAAGGAAGGTGGCTCTGACAGCCCCCAGCGAGGCAAAGAGACCAAGGAACTATCCAGGGACACATGGCCAGGAAGGAGCTGAGCTGGGACCCAGGTGGCACAGTGGGTGGACAGAGAACTTTAGCCCACTCTGCTTTTTATGAAACCGATTCTCTTTCCTGGACTTCAGACCCCTTGAGGGCAAAGACAATGGCCCACTCACCACCTTCCAGCTGCAAAAAGCAAGGACTGGGTGGTCAGGGAGACCCAAGCTTGAGTCCTTTGCTGACTAACCATGACCTTAGGCAGCCACTGAAGGCTGTGGTTGATTGTCCTCATCTGTAAAATGGGTATGAACCCATCTCCCTTGCCTAATTATCAGGGCCATTATAGAAACAAAGAGACAGCAACCTGAAAGAGGGATATGAATCTAAGTTACTGTTACCATATATACATAATACCCACTTTATCTTTTCTAAACGTATCTGACTAAGATGATTATATGCTTTCCTCTCTGCTCCTTCCCTATTTAAAAGATCACATATGTGAAGCAGCTAGCCTAGCATCTGGCTCTTACCACAAACACATAGGTAATAGTGTTAATTCTGTTAATTCATTTACTACTCATACACTAACCTGGTCCCTGAGCCCCGAGGAGCCCACCAGCTACACACCCTCCCCAGACTCCTCCCAAGTTAAAACTTGAAACAGTAGAATTTAGGAACACCTACTATATGTCAGGCACTGTTCCAGGCTGGTGATCAGGACAGACATGGTCCTTGCTCTCTACAGTCCCCTGGGGGCGTAAACAAGCCACCTTCATCGCAGTGAAGGCTGGAACAGCATCGTGAACAAGAATGAGTGAGCCTGGCTGGCTGGCAGAGAGGAAGAGGTCCTGGGTAAGACATGAACCGGTGAAGGATGGGACCAGCTTTCAACGGAAGGAATGGCAAGGGTGACGGGGCTTTAGTGGAAGAAGGAGGGGCAGGGACCTCAGGAAGGCAAGCAGGAGGGAGGTGAGGGAGAATCAGACCCAGCACAACCTTAGGCCTCTCAAGGCATGAGGAGGGTTCTGAGCGTCACCCTGGAACCTGAGGAAGGGGCAGGATAGCCCCCACCCACAGTCACAGGGAGCTTGGAGATTTCCAGACTGGGCCCTCCTTTCTAATTATGTGTAGGAGGACTGGACACTGTGGGGTACAGTGCTGGGTGGATAAGTGGGTGGACGGATAGACAGATGGATGCTGCAGCTGATGGCCATGCAGGCAGGGCTGCAGGGAAGGGCTGAGCATTTTAATGAGTGTGCACAACCTGTCCCCTCTCCCCAGCATCCGAGGAGGAGCAGATGGTGCTTCAGGCAGGCAGGGAGGGGCTTCCCCTGGTTGAATCCCTCAGGAAGGCCAAGGACTTTGAGGCAAGGTCTCAGGTCTAAAGTGGGGCGAAGTGCCGTCCACCCACCACGACCTACCTGCTGTGGCCTGAGCCAGGGTCCTCAGACTTTCCAGGCTAAAAGAAGATTCCTGGCCCCTGCCTGGGCCCCCGCCCTGGGAGAGGGAGGAGGAACTCTCCCCACAGTCTCCTACATCAGGCCTGGGCTTCCCTCTCAGAGACCACCCCTGGGAGCCAGGGGGCTGGCCTTTATCCCCAGCAGGGCCCACCCCGGATACACTTCCCTGCCTCAAGGAGTGTCCAGGCCTGACCCGGTTCTGCTTCTGTAGCCATGGCCTTCCCTCTGACCAGGGCACCCCCCTAGACAGCCCTCCCCCCCTTTCCATCCCAGGGTGTGTGTCCAGGCTGGGAGAGGCTAGCCCAGCCCAGAGGCGCCAGGAGCATCCCCTGACTTCACGCAATCCCAGGGTCCCCCAAGGTCAGCACAGGGCGGGGGGGAAGCACAGTGACAGCAGAACCTGCAGGTTCTGTCGACTGGCGGGAAAGTGAGACACAGAGTCACACACACACACACACTGATGCACAGAAACCACTCAGAAGTCATGCAGAGGGATGGGACACCAGAGGGGCACAGAGACTCCCGTGGGGGAGTGGGGTACACACACTCACACCCAGAGGTACCCACTCACACTCAAAGGACACAAGTAGAGACCCTCAGGCAGAGGGCAGACCCAGGCTCTGGGGGCTCCCACCCAGAGACACGTCCCCACGCACAGGCTCCCGGGACACAGGGCAGAGAGGATGCCAGCTCCGGGAGACACGCACTCACACGGGGGCACGGGGAAGATGCGGGCGTGCACTCACACCCAGAGGCACCGAGATGCACACTCACAGACACACCCCGGGTCGCCCGGAGAAGATAGCGGACTCACGCGGGGAGAACCAGCGACACACAAAGATCCCGCAGACGCAGAGACACGCATGGGGGCCGGGACGACCCGGGCAACGGGGCCCCCGGACTCCCCACGACCCTGGCACAGAGACGCCCCGGGCCCTGGAGGCACCCGGGCCA